CAAGTTACTGCATTATACAAATATATTATACAAATATAAATGCTTTTATTCCTTTTGTAAAGCTAGGAATGATCAGACATTAAACTCTGCTGGAGGTTTCTTCCTCTTAAAAGGGAGTTTTTCCTCTCCACTATCGCTGCAAGCATGCTTAGTGAGAGGGATTGCATCAGAGTCAATGAGTCGATGCAATCAACTGGTTTTCCTTAGATAAAAAACTTTTAATCAATGATCTGGTGAACTGTAAAGTGCCTTCAGATGACATGTGTTGTGAATTGGTGCTATAGAAATAAACTGAATTGAATTGAACATTGTGATATACTTACAGGTAGAGAAACAACCCAGTGCCTCGTTGTAGCTTTGGAGTAGCCGCAGAGGTTTCCTGCTCTGGGGGAAAATCTATTCATAAGAAAACTATCAGTCATGCAGTTCCCAAACCTTATGTAAGCAAAAACACAGTGTTCCCATTTTAAACCTCTGTGGTGGTGATAGCGTGTTACTTTAGAAAGGTCTTATTTAACCACTACAAAGAACATGGTTTAAGTAAATGGGAAATTGAATTGGCAAAATCACCTGGAATTCTGAAAAGGAATTGAGACCAGGGTTCACCTCATAGTACAACAGAAAATTTAAAAACAACACGCAAGCTATTGTGGATTTGTTTAGATAAAAGAATAACACATGTGTTAGAGGGGCCTAGTCAAAAGCCAGACGAGTTCAATTCTGAATCTATTGCAGGACTTTAATAGATGCGTCCCATTCACTCTGACTGGACTTGAGACATTTTTTTTAAAGATGGATAGATAAGATGGTCAATCTCTTAATGAGAAAAGTTGGTAGACTCATACACTAAGGGATCTACAGTAAATTAGAGGCACTGTATAGAAAACCAATCTAGTTTTAGAGAAAACAAAAAAAAAATGCTATTTGCAGTATAACTATTGTTTTAACCTTTACTCTTTATGTCACAATATGTTTGCGGTGCCAGGGCAATTCAGAAAAGTAATAAATGTAAGATACATGATTTTGGTTTTAAGAAGCATATTTTCCTGGCTGCTATATTGGTTATATAATACCGGTTATGAATATTGTACAGCCTTTTACTGCACTTCTACAGTCGCATGACTTCTTTAAGCCTAGCCCTGTCTTGAAATATCTACAAGGCTTATTTCAGGATGGCTTATTTAGGCAGTCGTTCTAAATTAATTTAATCAGGTTAGATCTGGTCTGAATTAACAGATTTTTGCAGAATCTATTTAAGAAACTTTAATCTATTTTAAAATCTTCTTAAAAAGGCTAAATGGCATCACTCCAACTGAAAGGGCAGACTGTAATAGTCACATAGCTGACATTTCCTAAAATGTCTTAAAGAGGTAATTAGAGCTAGCATGTGAGTGTTATTTACTACTTTATTATATAACATGAAACATATTATAAAGCAAAACAAGTTTTTTACAAAACCCCATCCAGCTAACCTTCAATAACTGTAGCTTTCTTGTTAGAGTTATGTACCTCCCAATATAATCTTTGTTATCAGACATGTCCCTTTTAAAATACTTGCTGAGTATTAATTAAATCAGAAGACCCCAGGAGGAGACTCTGATAGGGTGACACTGGCCTAATGGTCATTTCAGTCCAGTATAAAGATCATTTTGGTTCACTGACTTGCAATAAAACACACGTTCAGCTGGAGACTATTCGGACACTGAGCCCTCATCAGTTTCAATAGGACCCAGGCTTTAGCTGAGACAAAAGCTTTTGTCATGATCACAGAGCTTACTCTGCAGCCTGTAGAGACATCAGGCTGGTTTATGACAGGCAGGTCAGCAGGGAGTGGAGCTGGGGGGCTGAGACAAACATATAGCTTTAATTGTGCAAATGCCAATGAGCATGAAAGTGTTTAGAGCCCTGGAGATGATGGTGCATTGTATGAAAACTACCTTGCAAACGTGGGGACAGCGTCCTCCCTTGCTTTAATGTGCCCCCTGATGTGAGACCCTTGATCTGGTCAGTGTGGGCTGTAGTAACAGGAATGAGTTTGTGTGTGTTTGAGAGAGTAAGTAAGTAAGGGTTGCTGAGTGCAGTGTGGCACCTGCTGCTGGAATGCTGGAAACAATAGATGCAGTATAGGTGTGAGTGTAAGACTGTAAGATTTTAACCAAGATTCTGCCTCCAGAACTTTTCTGTTGGCACGCCTCAAGAAGGAAATGCTGGATTGAAGAAAATACAGCAATCAGTGTTAATGGTGTATAACGGGTAACCAATTCAAATTCAGCAGGGTCTGAATAAAGAAAATCAACAACCAGTAAAGATCAGGAGACATTTTTAATTATAATCTATTGCTTTAATCAACATTTAACACTGAAATTAAAAAGAAGGAGTTTATACATCCATGTTATACATTGAATTTTTCAATAAAAAAAAACAACATAAGAAATAGAAAGTTTCTCCATTTTATAATCTAAATTGTTTTTGAAGGAGAGAACAACCACCTTTTAGTGTGGTATTTAGACAATTTCCTGACTCCCTTTTTTCATAAAAAACCTAGACTGACCTTTTTTTTCTTTCTTTTTTTATGGCTTAATGGGAGAAGTGGGATCTAGGCTGACCTGCAAGGCTTTAAACCTGGGTTTGATTGGTGACAAAGCCATTCTCAAGAACATATCAAGGTGCTCATTTTGAGACTGGATCAATATTTATTTTTGAATATGTTCCTAGTGGAGAATCCTGCTTCACAGCAGTAGTTAAGTTAAGACAAACATACTCAAAATGTGCAGGGTCACACCGTTTCACTGTTCTTTCACTAATTCACTGCTCCTTTCAGCAGTCCACACTTTCTCTGCTGTCTTTTTCTCAACATTTTCCCATCACCTGGCTTTAAACAGGTTTGCCTGCTGTGTCTATAAGTAGCTAGCAGCAGCAACCCTGACTGACAGCAGCTCATTGGCTAATTTGTATCACGATCAGCCTGGTGCCGTACGCTCTGGATGGCTTTACCATACAAATAGTAGAAGCGGCGCAAGTGATGTTTAGACACTGTCGTCGGACAACATTTATAAATGTTTTAAATCAGGTTGGGTTCGGATTACAAAGCAGGTGGGTCTGGATCTGGACCCTGGTACCTTATCCGTAACCCCCCATGTAGTGTTGCATACCTCTGCATGAAAAGCCATGACTCTTAGTTTGCATTCATACCGAATGTAAAAAGAAACACAAATAGGGAGCGGGGTTCCATGTTATCCCTTAGTAAAGGCACACAGGAGTGGATAAACGGTCAGTGATGTGAAGGATGCGCTTTGAGTGATGGGAATAGGATGAATTGGAAGATTATAGAGAAGCAAAACTGTAAATATCATTGTGCATGTGAAAATATAACAAAAAGAACGACACTGAAGTTGAACAATCTGCCCTTTAATATTGATTTGTGACTAATTAGGACACAGGGTGAAGGTTTCTTTCATTCAAAATTGAAGATAAATCAATTTTGTTGGAGTGTGGTAGTTCTGATTTATATCAATAGTTAACATCCCAGAGGGTGATACATGTACATCCCCTGTTAAAGGACAGCAGGTACTGATACTCTCTCTTAGACAGATTGAAGTACTTCTTGAAGCGAGCGTCATTCAGCTCCGGTGTTGGTTCTCCCAAACTGGTAAGATCACTGGAGGATCTTGTGGACCCAGGGGTGCCAGAGCCAATGCTATTGTTTGGCTTTTTACATGAAATACCCTTGCTTGATAAAATCAAGGTCCACCATGTTGAGTTGAACAGACAATAGGAATTGGCAATGATGTGGTGAAACAAGCTATGGGAAATTTATCTGTTATCAGTGGAAATCGTTTGCGAGAAAGAAATAAAAATGTCAAGCTGCCAACGGCAGGAATTGTTCCCCTTCATCCCACTATTTGATGATGTAAGGGATATTTTTGAGTTCCTATAGATTCCTGTTTTCCCCACCAAAACCATTTTGGATGTAAAGTGCAATAAAAAGCTGACCCACATCTAAGCACAGACATGACCACAGGGTGATGCAGATCTTCATATGCCGCACACATACAGTATAACAATTACTTTGCACTTTGAATGGATCAGGTTACCGAGCAATGTGGTTTCAGCCCTAATCATCTTTACTTGTCTGTAAAACTTTATCTCAACATGTTTACACAGATTTTATCCAAACAGTTCCACTATCTTCATACATCAATATGCAAAGTCTTTAGAGGCATGTCTTGTGTCAGTCTGAGTGTTAAGTCATGTCTGACTGCAATTAGAGCCAAGCTTTTAAGGCTTGACAGATTAGAGCTGTGTAACAACTAGCTCAATGCTATCACATGTCACACTGTGTGGGGTGATTCTCTCTGAAACTTAGTTGAAGTTTATGTCAAAAAATATTTTTTAGAAATTGGTTGAAGTATTTGGCAAGAAAAAAAAAGAAACAGTCAAGTCTCAGTTTAAATGTGCTATTGATTTCATCCAGATTCTCAGAATTAGACTTTTCCTTTTTTTTTAATGAAGTCCTAGTCTGAAATTTCATGCCACTAAGCCACTGCAGACGTCTTGTTTTTAAAAAGCAGCAATGAAACCAAAAACAATGGGTAGCCATGTGGAAAGTATGATGAGGTTATGTTAGGAGAACTTTTCTTTTTAGATTTTCCGGTGATTTTCTTACAGCTGGGAAAAAGTGTGCAACAGAGTGTGCTTTATGGAGGGAGTTTCTAAGTTGAGGTTTTATGCCTTTAGCAGCAGTTTCTCAAAGTCTCTCGTCATAATCAAAGGCAAAAGAGGAAACCGTTTCACCCAGGTAGTTACATAAATATACAGTAGCTTTCATACACATAAAGAAGAACAACACACCCCATGTCTTAGGCCCTTTCCACGCCCCTCCACTCACCTCCCACCTTTTTCTCCTCTTTTCAACCCCTCCTTCCATCCATCCCTCCCTCCCATTCTCTCCCCTTTTGAATTAGGTCCATTCTTTCAGCCTGTTCTCCCTCTGAGCGTTTCTGCTCCGCTCTGCTCCTGTGAAAACTCCCTCTGAGTGTGTGCCTGTTTGAACTCCTTGTGTGTGTGTTAAGAAGAGTTTTATGTGTGTGCACAGCGCTCTGTGTTTTTTTTAAGAGGAGCTGAAGTGCAGCCGTTCATCAGTGGAGTTGACGGCAGTCAGGGGAATACTCAGATCACCCAGCCCTGCTTTTTAACTTACTGCTGTTTGCAGGACCTTTATTTTAAAAACTCACTGGACTTTAATTTTTCAACCAAACCTGGACTGCTCTGCGACTCTCTTTTTCTTGCATCTTGATCTGTCACTGGAATTTTCTATATTAATTTTTCCAGAAACTCTCACAGGATTGTTCAATTTTGTTTTATTCTTTACCCGAGTTACTGGGTTGCCAGTTCCTGCAATTTAGATCATTTTGACTCTGTGATTCTTCCACATTTTATTGACTTAAGTCATGTCAAACATTTAATGGAAAAGCAGAAGTACATGAGCCATAAGTTTTCTAATAACTGTTATACAGAAGATTTGTCAGGAAAATGGAATCTATCAGTTCTTTGAGAGTCATGATGCACTCAGGTGGATGCTGATGCTGACTTGGAATGTTCTGAACCTTTGCAGAGTTTGTTTCTGTGGAATTGGATGGAAAGGTAAGTTTTGATTTATTGCACACAATGCTCACATCTGTAAAGTTGTGTCATGTATGTCAGTGGCTTAAGAAAATGGTGTTACCAGAAGCATTTTGGGGAACTGGAAACTTTGAGGGCTATTTCTTGCTTAGAAATACTTCCATTTAATGCGACAGCAGAATTATTTTTCTTTTTTTTAAATAATTGAATGGAAAAAAAGGTAGCCAACATGTTGCATGAGTTCTCGCATGTCTTTTTCAGTGTAAAATTAATAAGAAAACCGACTATAATCATTTTAATTTTTTGGAAGTAGTTGCAGTAAAAGAAAAGCTGAAAAAAATTTTTAAATTGTTTACAATGTAATTTGCATGTTCATAAAATGGTTATAATATAATTAGTAGCATATTTACTTGGTAAAGCTGCTTTTTGAAGAAGTGCCTTCTGTTAAAAGGGTATTTATCTAAATTACTTGAACCGGGAAGGATAGATTTTATGTTATGTGCACACACAAAGATTCAGTGGGAATGTTGGATGGCTACTAGGTCATGTTAATAATGTTGAGGTGTACAATATATGTCCATAGAACAGCTATAGTATCAGGGTTTTTTTTGTTGTTGCGGAAACTGACTGTGTAAAATATATTTTCTACAGTATTTCACTTTACCACAACACTTTTCTAAAAGTTATATATTTCCAGAGAGGCACCAATCAGTTCGACAGAGATCAGACTTTAACAGTTCTTTTCCTTAATTAACTTCAATAATTTATTTGATACAAATGTTATTTTTTTCTATTTTAATAGAAAACCTGTGTATATTTGGATGCATGAATTTTAATAATTGTATGGTTACTTTTTCTCTTTTATCTCATATATTTCCCTGGTAAAATATTAATAGGCAGGTCAGATCTAAAGAAAAGTACAAAGTCTGTTATCAACCAGGATCAACATCAAGTATGTCTATAAACTTTCAAACCTTTATCAAAGATGCAATCATTCCAGTCATCCAAAGTCCATCCTGACAGACCTGAACAATGGAAACATTCTTTATTATGAGACACATTAAGTAGAGAGTGACTTCTACTCTAATCCTAACTCCAAATTGAACCTGCTCCAATTGCAACATTTCTTTTTCCTATCTAAGCCTTGAATGCTTGGAATAATTAATCCAAATCAAACAAAGATTAGCCACAGGTTTGCAGGCTGGAAAACTTTCCCTTCATGTTAAAGGGCCAGATGGCTCAGTATCAGCAACCAGCAGAGTGGTGTGGCCTCACTGCTTCTTCATTCACTGGGTCTCTTTCTGATTACTCAGTTCATTCCTCTTTAAACGCCTTACATTTTCTGGTTCACCTTATTTAGCATATAATCCCATAAAGACTTTTTGTAACTTATGGTGTAAATCAGCTCAGCTTTGCATATTTTGCACATGCACATTTGCACATTTTGGACATTTAAGTTAGACTGTGTGAGACAGACTGTAGGAAAACTAGTGGTGCACTGTTTCTCTTTTGGAATCATATAATGAGTTGAAATTAATCCCTTTAACTTCCAACCAATAATTCTTTCACTCCTTGCGGTCCGTTTGTTTTCATTTTTTAACATACAGAGGTGAAATGAGGCACTGCCCACCTACCTGTAATTCTCTGTAAGACTAAACGCTGGCTCACCTCCATATCAGGGTGTTATATTTTGATTTTATTTGCATACTTGCTTCATGGTTATGCTCCCATCATGGGATTGTTTGTAGAACTCTGCAGTGTGTTCATGTTCTGCCATGCTTCTCCTAAATCACCTGCTCTTCTAAGGCTAAATCTCTCAGCAAAATCAGAACACAACAATTGCTCCTAATGGTGCGTTTTCATCATGGTTTTTGTTTAGCAATCCAGGCAAGCTGCACAAGACACGTCCAACATTTTACATGCCTGTTGAAATTCTACTACAGTGTGTATGATGGCAAAGAGTGCAATCCCTTGACATTTTCTCCACTTTTAGGCATCAGCGTGAGATAACCATACTTTTCCTTGTTTATGAAGACAAGCCATTTAGATCTCACTGACCAACGCCCCTTAAATATACTATTTTTGATTCAGTGGAACCACAGATTTCCACTCAGATGTGTGCAGTATTCTCTACAGCCTTGCAGAGGGTGATGGTGTGCTGATTTCTACGTTGTACTCTGAAAACATAAGAAGTGAATAACCAGACACACAAAAAAAGTTTTTTGTCACCAGAAAAATAGATGCAAGTTTGATTTTCATTGTTTCATTGTTTAATCTTCTTCTTTTGATCCATCTCAGAGTTTAATTTCATGACTGTATGTTCGAAAAACAGTTTTTTCAAGAGGGCTGTTTCTGCAGACCTGCACTGTCAGGACCCAGAGCTGCATTGTTAGGACCCAGATCGGCACTGTCAGGTCCCTGGCTGCAGACCTGCACTGTGAGGTCTCCTGCAATGTTAGAACTGGAATTTTATTCGAAGACTTTCAAAGTAAAATTGTAATTGATTCGAAGCCTAACGTAAAAGCTACAGTAGCGTTGATAAACTCCCCCAGAAGCTAGCTTCCTGTCACGCGCAATTTTACTCCCCATCAAACTCCTATCTCTAATAATATATATGTGTTACATGGAAATAAATCTGTGTATTTGGATCGCTGGATGGAAAAGGACATTTGGTCTATAAGACATTTTCTAAACAACAATGGATGTTGGCGGTCCTATGAGGGTTTTTGCTTACTGTATAAGGCTAGGTGATAAATCAAAATAATCAAAAATAATTAATGTTTTTAAAAGTCCACGATTTGAAATTTTGCTAAATCATAAAATCAAGGAAGCCTCTTCCTGTGCATTTTTTACTTGCCCGATAGCATGCCACACTGTTTACTGTTTACCCCACAAAATGGGTGCACAGCTCCCCGCTTAAGGAGTGCAGCGTTGGTAGCACGGGCAAAGACAAACACAACCACAACAAGAAAAGACAACAAACCCTGGCCGCCTCATTTTCTAAAGCTGTCTGAACGCTGTAGGAGTTCATATACGGATAGACATGGTGCCCATTCGCACTGTAGAGAAGCCTGCCCTTCTTCACATGCTAAAAGTGTGTGACCAGAAATATGACCCGCCGAGTCGCAAATACTTTGCAGAGGTTACGCTACCAGAACTGTTAATCTAAACGCTTCGAGCGCTCAGTGAAAAGAAAGATGCTGCTTTTTTTTTTGCAACTACTACAGACCTTTTGTCCAGTCAGTCTCTTCAGCAATACATGAGTTTAACTGTGCATTATATCAACGTGAACTGCGCTCTCAACAGCTTCTGTTTACAAACCCCTTATTTCCCAGAAGATCAATACAAGTTAATAAATTGCATATTTCAGCAAATGAAGCTCTTTTTTCTTGCACTTAATATATAGGTTTAAATTTTTTACTGACAAAAAAATCAGTACAATGTCACAGTGTGTTGGAGGTTTGACAGGACCCAAATACACACACTGAAGCTTAAGGTGGTTACTTGAAGATTTAATAACAAGAAGGGGAGCAAAAATACAAAAACATAAATCCTCAGAATCCACAAAAATGGAGAACCAGGAATACTTACAACAAGAAGGGGGCAAAGAAATGACGACAAACCAGCAAAGAGTGACGGAACAGGAGGAGAATTTATGGAGAGAGAAGGGAGAGAGAGAAACAAAGGGAGAGAGAGAAACAAAGACCAGGCTAATTAGCAGATTGGGAGCAGGTGTGAACAGAGGCAAGAAGGGAGCTAGGGAAAAGGAGACTGACACAAGAGGGCAAACAAGAAATATCTAAGAACTCAAATACAATCAAAAATAACTAGAACACAAAAATAGAAATAAGACCAATGAAAACTCAGAAATAAAGCTTAAAAAGAACCAAAACCCATGACATACATCTGTTGTTGGGTGAAGATACTTTATGTTATGAATATTTACGTTTACATTTTGTTTTTACAATACATTTATTGTTGGCTCAATATTTATTATTTTGCAGAACATATTTTTTGAATAAAGTAAACCTATTTTTAAAACATGCATGTAGTATTTAATACTTTAAAATCGATTAAAATCATAATGTTCAAGGTGACCAAAAAAAAATAAATAAAGATTTTATTATTATTATTATTTTATTAGTATAATTTAAACTGCTCCAATGCTCAGTTTAACACTGTCATAAACTCTGACCCGACAGCAAACACGTGCTGTGCGCTATTCCCGAAGGCTTCAAATACAACATCCGGAATAAACTTCCGGTCCTGACATTACAGTTCTGCAGCCAGACTCTTGAATTTCCCTCTCAATCATTTGCATGGTCAGTGCGCCCACAGATAAACGGCTTTATATGTACTTGTTTACTTATGTTAACAGGTGCACATGAATTTACCGTTGATTGTTCCTTTTTTTTATCAGTAGAAAGATGTCATAGGATTCTGAGTTGAATGAAAATAGAATAAATACTGGGTGGTGTACAGCGTTTGCTTTAGCTGTTCTTGGTAATTTAAAGCAACTTGAAAAAAAGTTGAGTTATTTCTGCAATGTTTTTAACAGTGTTGATAATGCCTTGACTGTAAACTTTCTACTCCAAAGAAAAGAATATGTGAATAATTTGAGTAAAGAAATCATATTTTGTCTTCAAAAATCAACGTAGTTTTTAAAACATTTTTTGTTGCTGCCCTTGGCATTTATTTTATCTAAAGTATGGAAATAAATCTTCATAGTCAGTACATTTTAAAAACAATCCTAATGTATTTTCTTCTACCTCTCCAAATCTGTCCAGACAAAAAAGTTTGACATTTCCAGCTAAAAAACATTGTTTTTAACAATTTTCTATTTCTAACATTTTTAAAAGAAATAAAATTACTTAACGTACAATTAAACCTCAAACAGAAAAATATTTGCAATGTTAGTCATGATACAAGATTTCCTTTGTCAGGACCAGTTACAATCCCCCTACTTAATAAAGCTTTTGTGGAGCCAGAAAAAATATACATGACCAATTTTGTCGTCAAAT